AGCGGCTGTAATGTAAACACGTGTACACGCTTCGTCGTGTGGAGTCACATTGGCCACACGGATGGAGAGCTCGTTGGGGGAGTGATGAAGAAGCTGGTATTTGGTATTTTTTAAAGCTGTATGGGGGAGAGGGGGAGAACATGTTATGAGGAAAAGTACCAGATGAATACAGATTCTTGGTGGATGGATTATTCGCAGGAATAGCTCTTGATTTCCACACTTTAAAGGAACAAATATCACATCTTGGATTGAGTTGACTTACAAATTCTAGTGTTACCAGCTGGATGCCTCTCCTTAGCTTGAAATGAGAATAGGAAATAAAATATGGTGATCCTTTTATCTGTGAAATAAGCATTTGCTTTATTTCTGTTTGTAGGAAATTAAGAACACTATGCTGGTGGACGGCTCGGGTGGCAGGAGAATCTTACAGAATTTTAGACATCACATTGTGAAAAACGCCCCACTAGCCCTGGCTGGTGTGACTCGGTTGGTTGTGCATTGTCCCGTGGACCCAAAGGTTGCTGGTTGGATTCCCGGTTGGGGCACATGCCGGGTTTTGGCCCAGCCCCAGGGGAGCACGCAGGAGGCACTCTCACATCCATCTCTCTCTCTCTCTCTCTCTAAAAAAAAATAAAAAAACTTGTGTGTTTTTTTAAAGGATGTGTTTGCTTTAAAAAAATGCCCCACTATGATTTACCTCTTTGAAATCTGATTCATTTGATGTTGTCTTGTCAGAATGAGTGTGAAGAACGTAAAATAAATGCATTGGTATTCATTGTTCCAGCTGGGTGCTTCTTATTTTTAAAAGTTCATTATTATTGAAAGTTCCCCCCAAATTATGACTTAGTCCTTCCAGGTGTTTGTTCCTCTCGGTTCTATGGGGAGGCCCATCGCAGTCTGAGGCCCTCAGCTAACCAGTCCTCTCTCCTTCCCTCCTTCCCTTCCTTCCTCCCTCCCTCCCTCCCTCCCTCCCTCCCCCCTCACTCATTCCCTCCCTCCCTCCCTTTCTTTTTTTTTTTCTGTTGAGATTTATAATATGAGCAAGCCTAGAACTGTTAAACCAAGAATGGCTGAGCAAGGAAAGCTATTTCTCACCCAGAACCACAGCTGTGTCCCTCCTGATGTCATGAACTAGAAGCAGGACTTCACCTCAGCACTATTGACTTTTGAATCCCTAATTCTTTGTCGTGGGGGCTGTTCTGTGCACTGTACGGAGTTTAAATGCATCCCTGACCCCTGACCCCTGACCCCTGATCCCAGCCTCTCTGCATACTACATGCCAGGGTCCCCCTGCCCCCTTTCCCCATTTACAGCAACAATGTACAGGGGCAAGGGGAACCACCCAGCTAGATCCAGGCCTCCTGGGGAGACATCTGGTCATGCCATCGCCTTAAAAAGCCCAAAACAAAACATCCAAAGGCATTATGTAACAGCATTGTCTATATATATAAAAGCCAAGCGACTGGAATGAAGGAATGACCGAAATGACCAAAACGACCAGTCACTATGACACACACTGCAGCCCCAATTGCCTGCAGCCCCTTCCCCTGGCCGCCCCGCCCTCGATTGGCCCCCCCTGATGGGGGTGGGTCCAGCCGGCCAACCTCCTGAGTTCCCTACCCCTCGCTGGCCAGGCCCCATCAGCCCCCATTGGGGAGGGCCAGCGGGACCCCACCTGTGCACCGATCTGTGCCCTGGGCCTCTAGTCTCTACATAAAGTTTCTCGGTCAGAACTTTTAACAATAGTATTGGAATCTGGCCTTCATGGTTCATTTAGTTTGAAATAAGTATACTCAGTTATTCTACATCTACCACATCAATGCTTCATGGTTTCAGAGCCTGTTACATTGTCAGAGGCTCTGCTTTTCAAAGGCAGAATGAAGTTTGCTGTTTTGAAGACGTTCCAAGCATGTGGCCTTGGAAATGTTGAGTGAGGATATATAATGACCTCAATATGAAGAGGAGGGTTAGAATCCTGCTCTCAGAGATGAAAGAAATAGATGTTTAAGAATCCTGCAGGCAACAACAATGTAACTACGTGAGGGGATGCATGCTAATCAGACTTATTGAATATATACTCATGTCAATTATTATGTTGTATACCTGAAACCCATATGTCAATAATCTATATATAAAGGCTAATATGCTAAGTATCCGACTGTTCGACCACTCAACCATTCAACCGGCAGCTACAGTGCACACTGACCACCAGGGGGCAGACTCTCAATGCACAGGCATGGAAACATGGAACAGACTGATGAATCTCAGAGGGAAGGGGGCAAGGGCAGGAAGAGATTAACCAAAGATCTCATATGCATACTAAAGGCGCAGTGTGTGCACGGTGGGGTTCCTCCACCTGGCCTGAGCCCTCTCCTCTCGGACCCCTCAGGGGATGTCGGAGGCCTGGTGCAGGTTTCGGCCAATCCCCGCAGGCCAGGCCGAGGGACCCCATCCGTGCACGGATCCATGCACCGGGCCTCTAGTCTCTCAATAAAACGGAAAATGACTCCCTTTGCATGCAGGTGTGGGACGCTGAGGAGTTTGTGCAGAGGCTGAGGGAGGGCGGGGGCAGTGGAGGGCACAGGGCACAGCGGCCGCAGGTGTGGGACCTGGCACCTCTGTTGCTGCCTGTCCATGGCCATGGAGCCTGGCACCATGATGTGGGAGAGGGGCGAGGCTGGGCAGGAAAAGGCGCTTCTGCTGTGAGCCCCTTGCCAGCCGCTGGGAGGTTCCCGTGCAGAGGCCCCGGCGGCCACGTGTGGAACAGCCGGCGGGGCTCCCAGGGCCCTCCCTCCCCCCTGGGCTTCCGCGCCGTGTCTGTCCAAGAGCCCTGGGGGAGCGCAGGGGGCCATCCATGTTCTTCCACTCACCGCGATGCTGGTTTAAGAAGATGGTGAACCCCGAGGGCGCCAGCCACTGCAGGGGGCCGCGCTTCGCGGGGGGGCGCCACGCAGCTCAGGGTCACCGGCTGGCCCTCCTCCACCTCCACCGTCTCCGCGGGGCCCAGGGAGGCCGCTTGCGAGTGTGAGAATAAAACAGTCATCTTTCCTTGTCCAACAGCAGCGTAGCAGCTGGCCATTTTCTGCCCACATGACCTGCAGCTCCCTGGGGCCCCATCTGGAAACCACAAAGGCCAGCCCCCTCCCTATGAATTAGCCAATCGGGAAAGACTGTGCACCTTGAGCTCAATCAGGAGTGAGGGACAGGTCACGTGCATCAGGATTAAATGGAGGGACCCGCTCAGGCAGGTGCTCCCAGACCCTGCGCCTGCCTCCTGCGGGGGGAAGCTGTGCCCGCGGCCTGGCCCTGCGGCTCTGTGCGCACCGGGACCCCTGGATTCGGGGCGCTCTGCATTCACTGGGACCCCTGGATTCCGGGCGCCTTATTTCTTACACAAGGGAGAGAAGGGGTGTGGTCAGCTGGCTCCAGAACCCACTACCACCCGCAGGACTCAGCCTCAAACCCACCTCCCCAAATTATTCGAGTATTTATACACATTTCATCCAGAAACAGGGACCTCAGCCAGCACCAACATGCGAGGGGAAGGAGGGCTGAAGGGGGGGTGTCTGGAATGGAAAAAGGGGACAGTTGGACATCTACTGGCACTTGCTCCGTCCTGCATCAGTTCCTCTTACCTGCATTTATTTATTTATTTATTTATTTAATTATTTAATAAGATTAAATAAATTAGAGAGAGAGGAAGGGAGAGGGATAGAGAAGAAACGTGGATGAGAGAGAAGCATCATCCCTCGGCTGCCTCCTGCACGCCCCTGCTGTGGGGTGGGAGCCCGCAACTGGGCATGTGCCCTTGATGGGAATTGAACCAGCGACCTCTCGGCTCCTGGTCGACACTCAACCACTGAGCCACACCGCCAGGCTTACCTGCATCTAATTTAACTTTCAAACTAACCCTCGAAGGAAGAGTTATGAGGCTCCCTCTACAGATGAGGGAAGAGAGGCTCAAGGCCGCACAGGCCTGGGAGTGGGTCGCACCCAGGTCTGCACGCTGCAGAGTCTGCAGCCCTGGGACTCCGCCCCGGGCCTCCTGGCCTGGGCTTACGAAGAAGGCAATGCGTGCCTCCCGCACCTTGCAGGCATCCAGGATAGAGGGGAGGACGGGCTCCCCGCCTCCGTCACAGCCCCAGGGAACAGCAAACAACTGATGTGAAGCAGCTGTAAGTTTATCCCCCAAAAAGGACAGGGATAGGAAAAATAAGCTGGCACCTTTGTTGCTGTTTGTTATTTCTTCAAGTTTTACATTTAAAAAATACTTTTTCTGAGGATGACAATTCTTATCAGTGAGAGTACAAAACACTCCCAGAAGCATAAGAATATTGTGGGGTTAGAAATTATGAACATGAAATATAATGAGTCTTACTGCATTAGTTTAAATTTAAAAAAAAGAAAGAAAGAAGAAGGGAGTTATTTGCTTGTGATAAATTTCAAGTATTAGGAAAAGTACTTTGGAGAGCTCTGGGAATTCACTGTTCCATTCCAGAATTGTTCCAGAATTCTGCTTAGGGTGGGTCCTTGGCAATATTCTAATCTATAGAATCAATCCACAATTGAATAATAAGGATATTAGTAGAGAGGCTTTGAGTGACAACAGAATTTTTTAAGGTTAAACAGCTTCTGAGCCAAGAGTCTGAACCTAGAACTAACCCCATTGTCTCCATAGCCATGGCATCAAGATTCTTGCTTGATCTCTAGTTCTTGTGCATTATCTCGCTTCCCACAAACCGATGGAACTTTCTGGAGGGCAGTGAGTATACCTTTCATTTCTCCAAAATTCATTCCTTACAGGAACGTTCACTGTGAGCTTAAGACAGGGTTTAACGCCAGCTCTCATGCTGGCACTGCAGTGCAGGCAGCAGGCAGCACGGCTGCTCTCCCCTTGCTAATAAGAACACTGACACGAGGGAAGTGGCTACACTGAATCCATGACAGAGTAAAAACTAGTGTTAATCAGCAGCCCTGGTTTCACCCTTGAGGCCCGAGGTTTATACTTAGAAATGTTACCCATGTGCTTCCCTTTGGTAAAATGATTGTGGAGACAGGAAGCCTGCACCTGGGAGATGGGAGTGGCAAGATTTATCAGCGGCCTGTTTATGAATAAACTAGAGGCCCAATGCACGAAATTGTGCAAGGGGCTTGGCCCTCAGCCTGCCTCGGCCCTCGCAGCCCCTGCTTCGTCTGGAAGGTCATCCGAAGGCCATTGGGCTGTTTGGTCTAATTAGCATATTATGCTTTTATTATTAGAGATGTCTCTCATTTTAAGGATCATGGTCTTTTGCTTGGGATACATGCCTAGGAATTAAATTGTCTGGCTTTTCAGCACATGGTGAGAATTGTGTCTCCTAAGGTCAGTGTTTGCTCCTGTAATTCAGGATCAAGTGCTGACCAGACTGACCACGACTGGAGATGCCTGCGCTTAGATGGAAAGAGGCTGTGTTTCGGGCATAGAAAATGCGTTGTTCTCTTTACTCTTTGCTCCAAGCCTTGCTGTTGGCTGCACAGGCCTCTTTGTCTATCGGGTTGTCATGTAACCCCCGGGCTTGATTTAGAGGCAGGAAGTCACTGTAGGCAGGAGAGCAGCCTGTGTGTGTGTGGCGGGGGGAGCCTTGAAAAGCTTGCTCCACGTGTCCAGGTCAGGTGAGAGGGCGGGAGGTGAGTGGGCGGGGGTGGGGGGAGGGTGGGACGGGAGAGGGGGGCAGAGAGCTGACCTAGGTGCAGGACACGCCTTCTAAGTAACCGTTCCCCATGATCCTCTCACTGACACTGAAAACTGACTGGAGCTCCTCTGTTCAACTGTTTTCACCTAAGTTTGGAGTCAGAGCCTCACCTTCTGTATCAGAGGGCTGGGGTGTGGGGTCTTCTCTGCTCACCACTTCCTCCCTGCAGGATCTAGAAACACACACCCTTTCTCTGGGGCCTGAGCGCCTGTCCTCCTGCCAGTGTTCCCTATCTGAGCTCCAGAGTTCCATGGGGCTCGCACATGCTCACGGGCAGGGCTCGGCGGGGAGGGACGGCGGTCTCCCTGGATGTGACCACTCACATTGGTAGGTCATGCTCATGGAGTGGACTGTGGACTCTGGGCTTGGTTGTTACTGCGGTGGCTGGAGTCGTCCCTCCGTGCCCAGCTTGTGCTATGAGGTTCCTTGCTGAGCCAGGCTGTGAGGGCTGTTCACTGGGACTGGTTTGTGTACAGAAATGGAACCTGTGACCTTCCCCATCTCCACTTCCAACCCCATCAACTAACTGTGCCGACAGGGGGATGGCTTCACGCCAAAGCACATGACCACCCTTCAACAGAAGGGCAAGCAGCCCTCACGGCCACCTGCACAGCACACGCAAGTACAACATGTGCCCTCCTAGCACCCTCAGTGCTCGCCCGGGTGGGATTGCAGTGCGTGGTCTCCACCTCCACTTGAGGTCATCACAGCAGACTGCAGAGAGAACGAAGGATTCTTCCTTTTTCTCACTTTGTAGGTTAGATTTGCGAATGATAATATTAAAAGCTCCAGAACAGAGTCTGTCCTGCAGGGACCCTCAATGGATGTGTCCAACTGGAACTCATTATTCCTACTGCTCCCCAGGCCACACGTACACCTCACACAGTCGTGCCACCTCTTCCTTCCAGTGCTTCCTAGTCTTCACTAACGTCAGCGCCAGCACTGCATACCAGGGATTTGAGAGGCTCCTTCTCTCTCCAAAACATATCTTTAATCAATTATTCCCCTCTCTCTTTTTATTTGTTTACTTTTTACTACTATTACTGCTTTAGTTGAGGCATCCCTGGTTTCTTTCTTTGCCACTGCAATCACTTCCTGCTAGTCTCTGCTCCTTCTAGTTTATCATCCTCATCTGCTTCTAGAATTACATTTTTTTAAACATAAATTTGATCACATGTGTTCCTTTCCTAGACTTCTTGGTATGGCTCCATTGCTTGTAAGAATCAGACCAAAATTCCAGAAGGTTCCTGCCTTCTCCTCAGCACCACTGGCTGAGGCTCCTTTTTGAACGCCCCATGCAGAAGGCCATTTGCTGCTCTCAGGGCGGTCCAGGCTCTGGACACACCGGGCTCTGGTCCCAGCTGTTCTCTGGGCCTAGAATACCTTTCTTCTCTCTTTCAAGATTCAACTCAAATTACACCACTTTTGTCCAACCTGCCAACAGCCTTTAGGTCCACCCTCCCCACAAGGACCTGCTGACACTCCTCCAGGCCCCACAGGCTCGGACTGGACGTCTCTCAAGCACTTAGCACAGCCCTTTGCACATAGTGTAACAGCCTGTCCCCAAGGTGAGGCTACACTTTCCTTGGAGAAACTGTTTGCCGTTCCTGCATTTCATATGGCCAGGTCCCAGCACAGAGGAAGGCTGTAAGTATCAGTTGAATTAATGACTAAAAATGAGTAAATGCATAATGTATATATGAGTAATAAGATGCTGACTTTGTAATTATTATGTTGAATAATAAAGATTAGAGCTAAGTTAAAACCAGACACATGCAACGAGGTCATTCTCAAACCAGAGCTTATTCCATGAACGATGAGTTAGGAGGCAAGCTCTGCTCCCTCAGTGCGTTACGAGGAGGAGCAATTCTACTTTGTAGATAGAATAAATACATGAAATAACAAGTGAAACAACTAGTCTGTCAGAATTGAATTACTTTCAATACAACTTTAAATGAAATGTCTCAAATACGTGTCAGTGCACATAAGGCTTTTCCTGGTCCAAAGACGGGTCAGCAGGACCCACTCACCCTGCAGCTGTGCTGTTGTCTCCTGTGTCCGACCTCCGCCAGGTAACCAGAGTGGAGGCCACAGGGGTGGGTGCTCATCACCCACAATATAGGGAATGGGATTCATGGACACATTCTTCATTCTCATTGTTTTAACCATCCTAGCACCTATTTATGCCAATGACAACCCTGACAAGAGGGCAGGCTCCAAGATTATGGGACTTCTCTGGTCTATAAATTTTTCGCAGCCTTACAAGTTGTACACTAGAAGGTAGAGTGATGTTCCCATAATACAATTAGCTAAAAACAGCTGACATCTTATAGTGGTGCCAAAATGGATTTGCTGCCTCTTTACCAAGAAAGCAACATGGTCAGCTCCTTTCGTGTTTGGGACTCTGGTGGGCCTGAGCAAGGTCAGGCCAGAGTGGCAGCCGGCACGCAGCCCTCAGTGAGGCCAGGTGCCCTCTGGGGCCTTAGATGAGTTTTCACACTGGGGTTTCTCAAAAGTGGATCTCCCAACTGTGTGATCAGTGGCTGTCAAACTTTTGATCCACATTAAGAAACACATTTTCTGTCACAACCCAGTACACACACACATGCACATATAAGTACACACACACACACACACGCACATATAAGCATACACACACACACATACATGTACACAGATTGGTTCACGAGAAAATACTTTCACTACGTGCTTTGTAGGCTGCTACTTACATTATCATTAACTAGTTGTGAAAACTTGGGCAGGTTACCTAACTTCTTTTAACCTCAAATTTTATCATATGGAAATTAGGGATGTTAATACCTATCTCAGTATCTTTGCTAAAATTAAACGTAATTAACAAAAATAACCCAGTACTGTACATTGCACAATAAACATATTTCTCTCTCCTCTTTATGAATAATACTTGAGTGTATTTCTAAATGACTTGTGTCAGGTTTACCTAGGTTATAAAACATAGTCATTGCTGTTTTTATTTAAAATGTTATTTTTGTGAGGCAGTTTCACATGACAATAACTTGAATCCTGAAAAAGTTAAGGTCAGTTAAGGGCTTTAAACTTCAGACTAATTTAAAGCATTGTAATTGTAGCTGTCTAAATGTGTATTTTTCTGAATGTAAGTAGCTATTCTTTAAGTCAGTTATTAAAGGAACTGATATTATTTATTAACAAAATTGAATACTTATCAAGTGCCTTAGGGTACAAGGATCAAACAAGAAGGCACAAATTGAAGTGTATAAAATAAAATACTATGTAAAGTAGGAAATCTAGTTTGTAAATAGAGCCTTTCCAATGCAATTCTATGGTGAGTCAGACTTAGAATAATAACTGCATTTGTGAAACATACCTCCAGGCCCAGGGTTTGAAAACACACACACACACACACACACACACACACACACATACACACACAGACACACACATACACACACACACACACACCAACAAGCAGCACTTTCATGTGTGGTTTCCTCTGCAAGAATATGATACAAGTTGCAACCAATCAGGGACCCCACCTTGGGCAGGAATAATGTAACCTGCGCTCAAAAGGTAACTGAGTCTTTAATTTGCATAATGCTACATTGGAATCAAAAAACAAAAATAAAATTTGAAAATTATAATACAATGTAAAGTATAACTGGCTCTTAGGACATAAGCACTACGTTCCGCTGTGCTCATTATGATCTCTGACCTCATGAGGAGTCCTGTAGCACTTGGCTATGTTCAATGTGCTTTCACTTTTGAAATTTGAATCTTCTAACAATCCAGGGAGTTTGGTAGACCAAACATTGTTATCATCTTCATTTCAAGATACAGACATTGCATTTCAGAACAGTTACATTATTTGGCTAAGACTTCTAAAGCAAGGAAATTTTAAATCCAAAGCTGATGCTCTTTTAGCTGGTACACTTGTTACATTCTGCCATACAAGGTCCCCCAGAGACACACACTGCAGTAATCCTTGCCGTCTGTCCCCATTACCCTTAAACAGACGCACTAGCTCCCCTCAGATGTGCCCTGGAGCATCTGAGCACACTTACCTGGGTTACCTTCTATAGTAGTTCCTCTGGGGATGAGGTTGGTTGACTGGAAGATTTGGCAAAACACTAAGTCAAATGAGCATCAGAAAACATTAGCTCTAAGGCCTTACCTGGTAGGGACCACCACACCAGCAAGTTGCAAACTCTCCACCACATGCTGCGCTGGGTGCTGTCGCCCTGGCTTCCTTCAGAGCCTGAAGGCGAGGGCAGAGTGGTTTCTTTTGAAGGGGAGCGGCCGCGGCTCTGTGACCTCATGGGTCGCCCGCCTCCCGGGCCTGGAAGCCCCCGCTTAGCTAGCTGCCCCCAAACACCTCCTGCTGGAACATGCACAGGCCGCACGTGTCACCTTGACTGTGGAGAGAGGAGTGATGTGTTGGTGGCACAAATGATTCTACCCCACGTGGGTAGTACTGGTACGTCAACTAGTTGCAAGGCCTGGGAGGTGGGGGGGTGGAGGTGTGGGAGAGATGTCAAAAAGTCCCTGTGTGGTAATGTCACCTTATTGTCACAGTACTTGTCTAGTTTATTAAACAATTATAATTAAATAAGTTGGCTGAACCCTTGGGGATATTTTATATTTCTAATTCTGGCAACAATTTATAATGGTTATTAGGATCAGAGTTCATTCATTCACATATTTGCTCATTTAAAAAATCTACCCATCCATCATCCGTCCATCCATCCATCCATCATCCATCCATCCATCCATCCCTTCATCTATTCAGCCACCTAGTATGCATTGTTTTAAGATATAATCAGATATGACAGATAAATCCTTGTTTTTAGGAGATTGTGATCTAGTGGGGGTGACGATATATAAATGAATAATTTTGATATTTAATCCTCAATAATTGGACAAATTGAGATAGACTCAATTTCATTCTTCCACACAGCAACATACTAATAGATTTATGTCTAGAAAATAGAGGCTAATCTGTAATATTTGAAAAATTATAAAGGAAATATTTTCTGGTTCTAATTGACATGAGTGTTAATAGTCTGTAAATGTGTCAAGAGCTTGGGTAGGGAAAATTCTATCCATCAAAAATGTCTTTCAAATGTGTTACCTATTCAACAGGTAGAAAGAATAAAAAGAGGAGAGAGAATCGACCTTCCTTAAGAAGTTTAGCACAAATCTAACATGTCTCAAACAGTATGGCAACATGACCGCCTAGGGCCATCAGCTGAAATGCAGATGGATGGGGTCAGCCCCGCTTGATAACCAGACTCCCACTTGAATGCGGAGCCTCCTGTGTCTGCCTAGCTCTCCGGGTGTGTCCGGGGGTCTGGCAGCGCTGACTGTGAGTGGAGCAGAAACCCAGGGAGCGGGCACTGCTATCAGCCAGTGGGTGGGGCCGTAGAAGGTTCTCCTGCTGGTTGACTGTATTGAAATATATTGACTTCCTTCTGGAAGCAGGGAGCATTGCATTGTACCATTTTAAAAAATAAAGAATTAAGGCCATGTTGGGGTGGCTCAGTGGCTGAGTGTCAACCTATGAACTGGGAGATCACTGGTTTGATTCCTGGTCAGGGCACATGCCTGGTTGTGGGCTGGTTCCCCGGTAGGGAGCATGCAGGAGGCAGCTGATCAATGATTCTCTCTCATCATTGATGTCTGTCTGTCTCTCCCTCTCCCTCCCTCTCTCTCTAAAAATAATTTGAAAATTTTTAAATAAAGAATTAAGGAGTTTGCCTGAGGTGACACAGTGAGTCAGTAGCAGAACTGAGACACTTTTGAGTCTTTGGTCTGATAATTATTTTTCCTCATAAGGTTCCCTCCATGGACTCCAGTTCATGCTATAGTTCAGGCTCCATGGGTGTCTAAGCATTTGACTTTCCTGCTGATGCCAAGGGTGAGGCTTTATTGTTATACCCTGTTGCCTACCCTCTTTAAAAAGCCCCAGAAAAGTACACATAAAGTTCATGGAGGTGAGAACTGACCAGGGCTAGTGCCCAGCTTCTCACACTTCCCCCAGAGGAGTGCTGTTCTGTGTCGGGTGTTTGGACTTTCCCAGGCAAAGCCCGGGCGGGCCACCCGCGGCGCTGTCGGTGTCCGGGACGTCCTGGACTCAGCAGCACACGCCGTGGCTGATTTTTCAGACCTTGAGCTTATCATGTAACTTGAGTCTATGAGGAGGTAAAAAATCACTTGTACATGAAACAAAGTTAACATGCCATCATAGGACTTTTCATTAAAACCTGTGAGGGGGCGGGGGGTGGAGTAGGTGGAGTTGCACCAATTTTGAACTAAATTCAGGCAAGGGGCTTGCAGAAGGTTCACTTCATTTCTCTATTGTCCAATTGTGGTTTTCTGTTGAGTGAAAAAATGTACAGAAACATAGGTGAAAACAAGGAATACAGGACTCAGGTGACCAGAGAATGAAATAGTCTGAGATTGAAACTTAAATGTACAGTGTAATCCATCCCAAATGTATTGATTTAATATAGTTTCAGTGCAATACCTGTGAATGGACTCACATGACATTTACCAGGTGTTCATCTAACTGCAAACGGGTGGACTTTCTCTTCGCTTTCCGTTCTAAAGCTCCATTTTGATATTCTTCTTCTAGTCCAAACTCCCAGTGGTTTCCTTTTGCATGAAGACATAGTCCAACTCTCTAGCCCAGTGATGGCGAACCTTTTGAGCTCAGCGTGTAACTCTGGTGCCGTGTCACATATAGACATTTTTTGATATTTGCAACCATAGTAAAACAAAGACTTATATTTTTGATATTTATTTTATATATGTAAATGCCATTTAACAAAGAAAAATCACCCCAAAAAATGAGTTCGCGTGTCACCTCTGACACGCGTGTCATAGGTTCGCCATCACTGCTCTAGCCAATCATTCAAGGCCATCAGCCCTGGCCACAATCTCCCTGCAGTCCCTGTTCTGCACTCCCCAGTGTACACCCACAGGAAACTCGTGCTATATTTCAAGCACAGTTGTAGGCACACTGGGTCATAATTCCCACTGTCCTCTCTGCCAAAAGCGGCCTCTCTTCTGGGGAGACTATTCACCCTCCAGCCCAGGTCAAGTGGGCGCTTCTCAGAGCGCAGTGGTGACCAGCGGCTAAGAACACGATTCCTAACCACAGCTTAGCTTTCTCACCTGGGAAATGGGTGTCATGACAGCACCCAGACATGGCTGTGGGGAGAACTGAAGATGTTAATATACTTTAGTGTCCGGCACATAGTAAACACTGCGTGAGTTAGCTCTGACTCTCCTCTCTACTCCCAGAAAAAAAATCTCTACTTTTCTTTGCCCCGTGCTCGTTTCTCTCTTTATATCACACCAGTTTTATTTTGATTTGCATTAGATTTAGTTAAACACACATCCGTCTCCCTTGCTAGACTCTGAGCTCCCTGGAAGTAGAGTTTGCTTCTTACTTACCTGAGTGTCCCTGAGGCCTGGCATGTCCCTTTCATAAGATAGCTGTTTTTAAAATGCTTGTATTGACATATAACTGACGTAATGGACTGTCCGTATTTGAATTGTACGATTGGGTAAGTTTTGACATACGCATACACCTATCAAGAGCCCCCCCCCCGCCTTTTTAATCCTCTCTGGCCCTCCCACATCCCCTCTTAAAACAATCACCATCTGCTTTCTGAACTAAGGCTGGCTTTCATGCTGTAGGTGTTGTGTGGACGGACCCCCACAGGGAGCATCCCTTGCCTGGCTCCCTCGCTCAACGCCATTATTCCAAGGCTCATCTATGAGAAGCATGTGCAGGCCCCTCTTTACTGCTGGGTCAGGGCTCAGTGTGTGAATACACCCCAGTTTGTTCACCCTTCGCCTGTAGATGGGCTTCTAGGCTGTTTGCCATAGTACAGTTTTTAAATCTTGCCTATTACATTGAAGCAATTGTAGGAAGACTTTAGATAAAGGAAAACTGTATTCTCCCACATTAGCTTTTCATAACAATCCCTTAATTCAGAGGGAAAGTTCAAGGAGAGCAGGAGTAGTTAAATCAGGTGACGATGGTCCCTTGTTGGCACTTGGGGTGTACACTCGATGTGCCAGCCAGACTGTCTCTCGATCTCCTGGTGGCTGGGCAGGTGAGACATGCCAGCTGGGCTCCTCTCTGAAAATCGAGTTCATTGGGAAAGAGCCATCTCACACAGGGGTCCCCTCCAGGGGCATCGGGGATGGAGCTGAAGGCCTGCTCCTGGCCTCAAGGAGGGGCAGCACAGGGAGGGCTCCTGCTCAGAGCTCCCGCCACGGTTTGGTGAGGCCTGTTGGGACTGCGTTTCAGCTCAGCTCCTCCCAGCCTGGTCTCGCTCCCTTCGTGGATATTGCCCCCGGAGCGCTCTCCATACCCCCGCACACCTCCATGCAGCCTCGGACCCAGGCACCTGACCCGGGCACTGGGAACAGAGCGCATGAGGGAGCGCATGAACGAGCTTCCCATGGGAGATAGGGACACTGCTCGCTATGCTCTGGAACCTGAATGGGTGTTGGCTTAGCATTCTTCCCAAGCATCACAGGGAACCTCACCACAGCCGTCACTGGGCAAGGAGAAGTGTGTCTTTTCACCCATGGCAGTGACGTTCAGCTTGTCAGAAAACTTGACAAATACCACAAGAGTTCACTGGACTCAGAGAATAAAAGTGGTTCGTGGGGGAAACGCTGTGAATGACGCACTGTGGTTTCACGGTCCCTCCCACCCTCTCAGACCCACTCTTCAGCCGCAGCGGCCGTGGGTGCTGCCTCGCAGGGTGGAGGGAAAGATGGGGGGCACAGTGGCCAACCAGTGACCTTTTCCTTCTTCCTGATGGGAAAATGTCTGCTGGCCACCTTGTATGGGGGAGGCCTGGCAGCGGACGGCATTTGTCACGTTGGTCCCCGGGGCCTGAAGTTCGCATGCCATGTTTCAGTGCTAACAGGGAGTAACACTTGGTGGGGTGGTGTCGTGGGGACAGATTTTAGACAAACAAAAAAAGTTCCTTTCTATTTCCCATCATCACCTTGGTCAACGTAGATTATCTTGAGAAGAAACAAACAAACAGGAAAAGGAGACATTTATTAAACAGGTGAAAGTTAGACTGTTTCAGGGGCCACAAAAAACAGGGGATTTCCCCTGGGTGGAAGTTACTGGGTTTCTGTTGCAATTACGAGAGAGGCCTGAACTTTCTTTTTGCCCTTTCATGGCTTCTGTCACAAGCGTGTG